CATAAATTTAAAAAAATAAAATTAGAAAACAATGTTAAAAAAAAGTTATAAAACATATATTTTTTGAAAAAAAAATAATGAAAAAAAAAATATTAATAATTATAATTAGTTGACTTTGATCTAAGGAAGAGGAGGGTTGTAGTTTTACCGATAGAAGGTGCATATATCCCCACCCTATGTTTTATTTTAATTAACTTTTGCAAATAAATAAATTTACTTTATTTATATAATGAATCAAGTTAATTTATCACTTACAAATAAACTTGAACAGTTTCTGGTATTTAACAATATTTTTAAATTTTATTTAATTTGAAAAATTAAAGTATTTAGATACTAATGTTTTTAAAAGATATTTTTTTATTAACCTGGATATCTAACCCGCTATACAAGCCGACTAATCTCAGGGCGACCACCTATTTTGCAGATAACCTGGAGTCACCGCATTTGAACCTCCGTGGTCAGAAGGGAACTTTTATTCCTCTTTGAATTTGAACTTGGGATCTCCTACTACTTTTAACCTTTGGAGCCAAGTTCAAACCAATCAGACGCCACCCTTGTATCTAAAAACCATGAAAAATAAAAATGTCTGATTTTTTTTCCTTTAAGCGTGCAATCATGTAAAGACAAATTATTATTTTGACAAAGAAGAAAATACAAAGAAATTTAAATAAACTTGTAGTAAATAAAACAATGACATGTATTCACATGATCGATAGGACAAAAAAACTCGTGTTTTTTACAGCTATTTTTCAATAGATCCAAGTCGATGAATGACCGAATTGTAAAGTTGGTCGGTATATATTTTAATTTACATAAAAACATTCTTTGGATTTGAACAACATCTATGGAATACATTTATTTCTTCTGGATGTGGCTTCCTTTGTTTTTTGTGAATTTTCATGCTCTTTTTTGGTTCTTTTTGGACTGTGATAGAATTTATTAGAGCATCTTCAACAAATTTTTCAAAGTTTCTTTAAAATAGAAAATTAAAAATCAAAATCTCTAAAAAATATTACATTCATCTCTAACAGATTCCCCATTTTGGACAATCAAACATTGATTATAATATTCCATTTATCTATTGAAATGTTATTTATTTCTGTAAATATTTATTCTCAAAGTTCCCTATTGGTGGTCTCAATTAGTAATCATTTTTGGGTTGTTTTCCATATTTGGAGAAAAGACCCTTCTCTCTCTTACTTTCCTCATTTTGGAGATAGTTTTGAGGAAGTTGTTGGAGTAAAATATTGACTCAAAATCCTTATTTACTGTATTTTAAAGAAATTGTTGGAGATTCCATTCATGATTTTGTCAAAATGCCTTCATTTGTCTCTCAATTGGTTACAACAACCTTGAGGGTTTTTCTAGAACTCACCTAACAATAAAACTTGAATACCTCTAAAATCCTTGAAGTTTTTTCAAGCTATCAAGGATCTTATGGAATTAGTCGGTGCATATAAGTTGATATGAACGCGTATAGTTTCATGGAAAAACTAATAATGTGGGCAATAAGACATGACAACCGTTGACCAATGTCAAACATTACAAAGAAATGGTCCTTATGTTAGCGAGAGTTCTATTGCAACGATAGATTAGCTCAACAATAATCACTAGATAATCTGTCAAATTAAAAAAGGGTTGTTTCGAGTTCCATTTTATTAAGCGATATCGATAACTACTTGTCAGACATACCAATTTCTCATGAAGAAAAAGTCAAACCCACGAACTTAATCTACCAACGATCTAAATCTGGTATGATGATTGAAAATGTACTTGTGTTACTATGGTGCGTAGCAAATCAGCTGAACCACAAAAAACCAAACCATATTGTTTTGGGCGGTTTAAAAGGTTTGATTATTTGATCAAATTTGGTTTGGGAAAAAATCAAACTATACAGTTTGATCCGTTCGGTAGTTTAAGAAAGGTATCAAGTTTAAACTTATATATTAAAACCCATATACTTCTTTTAACTCTAATCCCTTTCTCATTATGATGTTCTCTCAACTCTCGTCGATACGAATGACAATGACTTTGTTGAATTACTCATAGCTATCGATCAACATTATATGTGGTTCTTTTTATACAAATTTTTTATCTCTTGGACCATCGTAATCCTAAACCTCTTAGACCAGTCAAACAAAACCGTCATTTGGTGGTCTAGTTTACCCGTTCTCGTCACTTAATTTCAAAATGCATTACTTAAAAAATTATTAAACCGTCCTTACTGTTTGGTTTGTGATATGGGAGGTTAAACAACCTAGATTAGACAGTGAACACCACCACATGTTACTTGCTCAACATGTAGTGGCCTTTCATCCAACTCTTACTCGGTAGTCGCTTACCACTACTTTCATTTAACTTACCGAGTAAGATTTTTAATCGATTAAAACGACACCGTATGCAACCTTTTTATCTGTTAAACACTTACAGGGTAAGAGTCGTCACTCACACCACGTAAGACTCTCGGTTCTTGTCATCCCCTTACGAGGTAAACTTCTCAATCCTTGTCATGTTCATCCAATAAGGTAAAGTGACCCCATAAGCAATTACCGAATAAGCATTTAGTAAACGTCCCTTTACTTTTACAATACAAGACTTCCCTTAAAAGCAATAACCAAACCAAACCAAACTAAACGTATATATCTCATGCAGAGTAAAGTCACAAAAGGATATTTTCTGAAGAAAAGAACAAGAGACATTACCTTGAAGCAATCTAAAGTTGTGATTGCAGTAAAAAGAGAGTCAACTAGATGTAATCTATATGAGCATAAAGCATCAAGACAATAATTAAAAGGGGGTGCCTACAATTCAACCCCTTTGTCCTAAAACAAACAGAAAATTTAACAAATCAAGTTCAATGTATAACTTTCACTTCACCAACTACAAGTCGATAAATCACGATTCCAGATCGACCACCTTTTCAAGACGCATTTGTCAAATCTTTTCACAACAATCAGAAATAGTACGGACGGTTTTATAGAATTCGATGAAGCCTGTTGTTTTTAGTCACTATGGCCGGGCTCGTTTCATGCTGCAATACGGGCATTTGTATTGTTTTATACTCTCAGCCTTGGCAGGTGTTATTTTGACGCATTTGCCATGATACCACCGCTCACAGATGTCGCAGCCGATCCAGAACTCATCTCCGTTGTAGTTTCCACCACAGCTGCCACATTGTGTGTCACCATGTTCGTCTTCATCCTCTTCATAGCTCTCTTCTGCTACCTTTGGGATGCTTTTAACTTGTCCATCACTTGACCTCTGCAAATGCAAAAGAATTCAAGTTTATATTCATAACTCTCTTCAGCTACCAGGGCCTAGCCTTTATTTGCCGGTCAAAACTAGTGCACGCATGAGATTTACTGGGTTTGTTTGGGGTATTTATATAGAGTTAGAATAACTCGAATCGTGTCCCCAACTGTGCTGAAGGTTGGACTTTCTCCCATGTCACCTCGGAGATGGCTTGACCAAAAAAGGGCATGGGGAGAGAACATCTTATTGGTAGAATATGTGATGGGAGCATGGGGCAACTGCAGAAGGTCACAATGTAGATAATATACCGACGTGTGTTGGACTTCCACATCAACTAAACACGAACAATCAAACTTGTATATATGTAGGCACCTCCTTTCTTTCTATAATGGCTAAAAAATTTAAATGGGTTCCACATGTCCTAACATGGTATCATAGCCCATCTATCATCATATAGGGACTCGACACACTCTTTTGCCTCCGTTGTTGACTAGCCTTCATTTAAGGGGGCGTGTTGGAGCATCACATCGGCTAGATACGGATAATTGAACTTGTATATATGTAGGAACCTCTCCTCTCTATAAGGGCCTTTCTGAAGAAATGCAAAGGAGTTCTACATATCCTAACATGTAATACTTATATTTAGAAGATTGATTTTCAATTTGGCATGGTCCAAAACTGCTCGATACCAATAAAAGGACTAATCAAAACTATTCTTACCGCAAGAAATATGTGAAACATATGTATCATCATTATACTGTCATGGTGTATGAAGCAATAAGCATATATACTTCTTAGGTTATTCGTTTAGAATATTCCAAAAACTCCACTAAAAATAAAATGAAGCAACAAGGTTAAGGACAAATTGCATTAAAATGCAACGTCCAATTCCTATTTTGTGTAATGTACTTTCAAGATCTTCACTTTGATACATCAAATGTGACATGTCAAGCATTTTGCTACCATTTGCCCTCTCAGAATTGCATGAAAATGCAACGTTGGTACGAACCATATTTTGTTTAACATACTTTAGTCCAATTATTTGATATATCACAGTACCAAATAGAAGGTTTTGAAAGTATGTTATAAAAAATAAGAGTCAAACCAAAGTCCGTAGCATTTTCATGCAATTTGCCCAAAATTGATGTTAAAAACCCTGAGATAATTTTCAGTTCAAGAACAGAACAGAATAAAAACCAGAATCAAGTGGGAAGCAAACTGATATCTTTTGCATGGGTATACAATTCTAATTTTTCTTATAGTTTCCGCTTTTGATTCCGCCCCAGTGCGGCTGGTTGTGGATTGATTATATTCTTTTATTGTGATATACTTGTATACCTGAAAATGAAATTAAGGCACTGTAAAGTAGTAGATTCATTTTTCTCACCTTTGTACTGCCCCTAGATTTGCTTCCGCTATCTGCACTAGGCTTGTCTTTTACAGGTTTTCGTTCTGTTACAACTTCGAAGACAGTGGGCAGATCATTAATCAAGCTAAATAGACGCTTCCTGTGAAGAAGCATATGAGAACATGAGTCTAACTTCAAATTACAGGCCTTAAAGGATACCAGAATACAAAAAAAAAATCAACCAAAGAGAACACAGTAACTTGGATTTTATGTGCTACATATCCCACAAAGGCATAGAAAATAGGAAAACACCCCAAAAATATAGAAAAATTAAAGATTGTCCAGGGAAAAACTACAGAGTAAATCGATTCTACGTACAGAGTCCATCAACATAACCGTTGCAACATTCTTGGTATAGAAAAGCATAAAAAACCTTAAATATAATTTGAGGGGCAATCTGGTTATTTAACGTTTTTGTCATGTCCTGTCAGGCTTACCAAACATTATTCAAAAAACATGTCAAGTCATGTCCTAGTCAAACCGCACACCAGATGTTCCAGTCATGTCCAATCCTGTCCCATATACCAAACATAGAGACTACTCTTTTCTATGCAAAATGAATGGTTTTGCTAACCATTATACTTGACACTTCGTATTAAAACAGCCACTAAAAGTGCCAAGAAAAACACATACGTGTAGAATATGAACATTAGTACCATCTATACTTAATTTTAGCTCTCAAGAAAGACCATTATACTAGTCAAAAGTTGCTAAAAACGCCCATGTTTTCCAAGTTCATGGTTTTTTTGAGAATTTTCCAACTAAGATGGTTATTTTGATACAAAGTGTAAAGCCTGATGGCCACAAAACTCTTTCTTCATATGTAAAGCATGAAGCAAGTAATAGCTTGTACAAGTTGGTACCAAAACATATTGTCAAGTACCTAAATCATATCTTTTGACTATAAGATACACGAGACTAAGAATGTCATGAGAATAACTTCATATAGAATGTTAGTTTTAAGGTCTTCGTGCATATTGAGGCTTTCTCGAATGGATTTGGTTTTATATAAATTATACATACTTGTTATTAAATGTATATGTTTGACTAGGCACGTAATGAAAGCATTTGACTACTATTGAATATCTAAAATACCCCCTAATAATGACAATAAGAGGAATCTTGTGAACCAAAATATGTGTAATCAATATCTTGTAACGATCATTGGATGGAAGAAAAATGATTTTGCATCGTAACTCTGCCACAGAGGAACAGTAATATACTAGATTCTTATGGGGGTACGATGAAAAAGAAAGTTGTTGTATTCATTTAAAACAGAAGAACTATGGAAATACTTATGCTATATTCATTTTATGTTCTGAAGATCAAACGCTTCTTGTAAAATACATGTTATGTTGATATAAGAGCCATTACAAAAAGGTGTTGTTAAGGAGGAGAAAATTAGTGCCCAATGCTCTTTGGTTTAAGAAGAGTCTTTCTACGCAACATTTCCCTTGATTACGCAAAGAGGATATCTCGACACTCGAACTGATGACCTTCCTATCACGAGGTAGTAACTTTACTAGTTGCTCCAACGCTCACCATGCTTTAACAGAATAAATACAAAAGACGCCTCAAAAAAGATTTAATTTCCACTATCCTCTCAAGTGGCATATACACTAACACATTACCATCCCAGATTGAAATTACAAAATAATGAATTGAGTATCTCGCAACAAAGCGTTGTAGTACATGAGTTACATTACAAGTTTATGTTTATTGCCAGTGCTTTTAGTTATCATCATCAATTTAAGATATGATTGGAAAAAAGAAAGAAAAAGAACTCTCAGTCAAATGGATGAAGGGAAACTAAAAAGCAAAACTCGGTTGCTTGGCAGAAAGGAATAAGCAAACAGAATATTAGAAATACATGTGTTTCACCATGCCATTGTGAACGCAATTGTTGACCATCACTCAGCTGGAATTTGATCTAATAGTTAACTCATGGCTTGAGTAGTAACTCTTATGGTTTTTGAAAAATGAAAGTTTAGTGTAAAAGCTTATGAAAAACTAGTGTTTTACATAAACATGTTTTCAGAGTACAGGGTCCTGTTTGGTTTAATAAAAAATCAGTGAGATTTTCTTTTATATGAAGAAAAAAGGGGAATGAATGACCATATTTATAAGGAGATGATAATTAAGTACTAATTTAACAAACTTTGGAAAGAATTAAAGAAACTTTCATTATCAAAATGAAGTGTTCTTGCAATTTTCTGTTTAAAATTTAGACCATCCCCCATGGTTCTTCACAGCAACAATCGTTCTACTCTTTAGATTAGAGGTCAGATCTGCATAAGTCTCATGCAACCTAATGATGTATGAACCGGCGCAAGAAGTGGTGCTTTCAATGAGTATATGATTGAATTTTATGCATGATCATTTCAGTTGGGTGCTAGTGAGCAAGTACCTACTAAGGAAAAAGAAAGCAGAAAACAAAGCCATATATGATCGTCCAAATATAAAATGTCAGGCAGAAAGGCCATCTATACAATGTTCTTTGAAAAATATGCACCTTACAACTAAAAGAACACATTCCTACAGTGCACCCACGAATTATTAGGATAGGTGATATTCCAGCATTAGACACAGATATAACATGCATTCTCAAGCTATGCTGTTACTACGGTCAAAATACAAAATATCAGTCAGGATCGATATTTGATATATCGGTGATATATCGGTCCAAAATAGCGGTTAATATAATATTTCTTAGAATTATATATATATATATATATATATATATATGTATGTATGCATCCATAAACATATCATATGCATTAATTAGAGTTTAGAAATATAGTTTCAAAATTAAAACATCACATAAACAAGTCTCACAAAACAAAATAGACTAGAGGAGACAGAGAAGAGAAAGAGACCGAGAAAAGAAAAGAAGCCAGACCGTGAAGATGAAGGAGACCGAGAAGAGAAATAAGCATGGCCTGTGAAAGAACCGAGAAGAGAAGAAGCGTGAACTGTGAAGAACCGAGAAGAGAAGAAGCGTGAGCCCTAATATATGTATTGACTGGTTGACCAAATAAAGAGGCCCAAAAACCTAAGCCCAACATGTAATAAAAAAAGCCCAAACATTTGCCTTATAGAAAATCGGTATAGCGGACCGATTTTTCCATCAAAATATCGGTGAAATATCGTAAATATCGGCGATATTATCGGAACCGATATTTCACCACCGATATTTTTCCAGAGACCGATATCCGATAATCGCGATTTAACAGCATAGTTCTCAAGTACAAACTACAGGACCCTTACCACCTCATGGCAAACATAAATGGTGAACAAGTACATGCCTTCATGTTGGCAAGTTTATATATATATATATATATAGTCACACACACATATATACATATATACAGAACACATATACATAACACACACAAATATATACACACATACATTAACAAGTTTATGATAAACTTAGACTAATGATTTGTTATTTAAACACTAAGTTTATATAATATTCGGTTTGGTGGATTTCACAATCTAAATTTGCGAACTCCAAATCAAATTGACCGACCTGACTTCACACCAAGGCCAACTGTTGTTACCAATATAAGTAACATAATAAATGCAGTTGCATGAAGTAGAAACATAAACGGAAGAATGTCAAATAACCACTTGAAGAATAGACTATGAAAAGTGACTGCCATAGACAATGGATCACTTAAATGCTATAACAAACCACACAAATCCAGGAAACAAATTATGGTAAGTGATGAACACAAGAGCTTCACACACTAGTCACTAATATAGAAACTCATCAAAGAAAAACAAACAGAAAGAATATGGGATCTATGTCAATTGTGACTATTACGACAGATCATGGAATCCTGGCCTGCTCCTGTTGCTCCAAATGCTTTTAAAGTTGCTTCCATATCATCAGTGGATAAACACAAACTTAAATAGTTACAATTATGATATAGAGCCTACGAATAAACATATCCAGAATTCAAAAATATAACAGTAGACTGAGAAGAACAATTTTAATTTCATACCAATATTCTTACAAGATGCAATTATACAGCACTTCATGGATGATGCTCACGATAGACGTAAGAAATGATATGAGGGGAACAACAAACAACCAACAGAGCATGGAAGACATTATGCAGATATAAGTTATAAATATAGTGAACCAATGTGCATCAATAGTGAATGCCATAAAAAATGTAAGCACCTTTCATTCCGATTTAGCCGTGCTCCAAGATAGAAAGCCACAGAGAGCAACCAACAGTCACTGTGGACTGCAACCAGTGAGAGCCAGTCCTTCCGATTCATGCCATCTCTTGCAAAATTGATTCCAAGAGCTGGCTCAGGAAGCTCTGGTGGAACTTCCTCTGCTGGAAGAGTGACTTCCCAATTTTCATTTGGATGTCCATATAGACATAAGTTATCTTTTTCTGGAACCACAGAACAATGTATTTGAAAGGATTAATAAAAGGTCTGAAAAAGTAATTAACAAAGTTTATATTTAAAGACCCTCCAGCAGGAGCATAGTACTTGATGCAAATGAAATAATATCATGGAAAGCTCTGTTATACCTTAAAGAAATTCAATTTGTTCACAACCAAATATACTGTATAGGTTAATCTCATGCTCCATGTTTTACCAATCTTGTTCCCACTGAAAACCTTCATCAATAGAATGATTTGACTTGGAAACATTTAATGGGATTTCACTTGTTACCATTTACAGTTTTGATACTATCTTCTTCCTGGTTTTTACCAGAAAAATACAAACTAAAAAATTAAATGAAATTGTTTGATCATAGAGGGAATCTTCTATAGTTTCACACATAGAGGGTTATTTCGTCCCTCTTGCACCTGAAAAATATATCAGAGAAGTAACCGAACATCCACCAATTCATCAACCAACAGAGAATAGTGTTATCACTAAATATCAAACTACTACCAACGGTTTGACAGTCCCTAATGAAACCACTTTTTGAACTACAAATACTGATACTTAATTTTTGTTCATCAAAAGAGGAAAGTCAAAATTGTTGTAAATCATCAATTCATACAACAGCCTGAGAAGGGTTTGTTTTAGTTCAAGTGGACTACTCTCACCATAAATTCTGCCAAAAAAAATATGAATTCCTACAATTTTCTAGAAACTTTGGTACCTACATTGAATACCACCCAGAAAGTTGAATTTAACTTAAACATGACTTATGCACATTTGAACAAAAACAAACAAAACGACCGTCTACGCATCTGTTTAAGCAATTTTAAATCCAAAAAAGAAAACTATAAGGCAAAAATACTCAAATGGGAAAGTACCTGGATCACAAAGTCCATAGAATTCGTCAACATCTGAGCAAATTAAATGAAGAAAAAACAAAGTTAGTAACTTGGAAACAAAAAAGGGGTAGTGCTTTGGTGTTAGAACTAGGGTTAGGGTTAGGGTGATGAATTGAAGTACCATGAGTTAAAGCACGAACTATGCCGCCACGACGACCGCTATAATCTTTGAAGATCTCTTCAACTGTACGAGGACTCGAAGAAATTGAAGCCATTTCCATATGAAAGAAAAACCGAAGAAACAAGAAAAAGAAAAGGAGATCTCAATAAAGTAATTTCAAATTGAAGTGTCGGATATTGACCATACTCTGTGTTTTTGTGCAGAGATCGATTAAGACAATATTCCGAACTTTTGGTATCAGATGAGATAAAACGAAGAGAGAGAGAAAGAGAGAGATATGATCCGATGGCTAAGGAGAAGTCCACTACCAAATTTTTTTGAGTTGCATTTGCATCTCTAAACGATAATAAAAAAATTTAGGTTTTTTTACAAACTCCATAATTCTATTAAAAAGAAATCAAAGTTCAAATTTTTTAAAATATTTATAGAATAAACTATAAATCCGGCCCAGTGTGGTTTGTCAGTTATAACACTTTTTTATACCTACAGTTTCAAAGATATAAGATAGTCGTCGTGGTCTGAAAAAACATCTGGATTTACTTCATCTGTTAAAGCAATTCCATTAATTGAAGGGTATTTTAGACTTTTATAGTTTTATTTGTTATTTCTCTTTGAAAATTGCATATTCCAAATGACCCAACACCCTCGGCAATCTTCTATTGCCAAACTTCTTGTTATCTTCTCTGTCCAAAACTCAAATCCAAAATCAAAACCACATGGACAGTGTTTGTAGTTTACTCTATTTTATATATCTAATAAAATATTATTAAACTTTAAGGTTTTATTGGTGGAAATTTAAAAAGAAATTATTACTCTTTGATGGTAATTATTTTTTGATCAGTTCTTCAAAGTTGAAAATTTTAATACTGTTTTTCCTATTTTTTTCCATTTTGGACAATTAGGTCAACTAAAAGAATTGTTCATAATCCCCAAAACATCCATTTTCTATATTTTGCAGAATCTGTTAGAGATGCTCTAATTTCTATGTGATATCGAGAAAGTGGAGAGATAAAATGAAAATCTCTAAAATGGAGAAGATAACATAGAGATGAAGATTTCCAAATTTGAGAAATTCTTCAATATTTAATGTTAAAAGGGATAAATATTTTTTTTATTTCTTACCAGCAATAAAGTTGAATGTATTGTTATTTTAGATAAATAATCTATTTATGATTTTATTAAGATATTAAATGTTTTGAATATTTTAATAATATTATTAATGCTGAAATCTTTGAAAACAGAAAAACTATTGAACTCTTCATTTTGAAAAGATAATAGAAAATATGTTGGTATGGGATATTCTTTTGATTGGATAACTATGTATTTTAAGAATCTATACTTGAATATTATATTGTGATAATTATGTCTCATAGATAAAGGGAAACTTGCATAAAATTAGGCTAGATAAGGGCTTCCACATCAACTGTTTTTTTGTATATATGAATATCAAACATTGAATTCTACCCCTGATGCGTGTTTGTTCATGGTATCGCAGCAACACAACTAAGATATGCGTTAAGTCTTCATGTGAGGTGAGAAAGACGATACATCTACACCTCTAGATGCAACCATATGTAGTGCTTTTTTGGCAATTTGATTAATCTTGTTGACTTCAGAATGACAACTATGGTCAATGGGGCAGATTTATGTGTCTTGCTTGATGAAAATTTGGCTTTGTTGATGGAACTATTATGGAAACCAAGACTCTTTTCACGCAAAAGGATTGGCTCACCATCCACTCAATGTTTTCTTTATTGGCTAATGGACACCATTGATCCAGAGGTTAAGTCATTTTATGGGATGAATCAAAAGCTCATTTTTTTAATAATGGCTCAAAAATACATTCATTGAAAAATGTGGACAATGTAAGAGCTTTTGCCTACTCTTTGTCGTGTTTATCAGAAATCACTCAAAAAGAAGAGGTACGTGAGATTATATGTGCCAAGGGATATCCACAAGGGGTGGGTTTTGTTGTACATTCGAAGGGAAAAGGCAAAAGGAGACCAGAAAATGAAAGAACATGAAGCTTGTTCAAAATTCACCAAGGATGAAAGTGTGAAGAGAAGACTTCAGAATTATGTATCGTAGAATTTTAGAGTTCCGAGTTGAAGAAAAGCGTACAAGTCTAAGTCTGTAAGACTTTAATTTAGAATTCTATATTAGAAGACTTCAGAGTTTGGGTAACAAGTTCTCATGCACACAAGTGTAAAGTCTGAAGAGTTGATCTTCAGAATTATTCAAGAGGACCCGAAAAACTTCCAAGTGATAAATCTGAAGACGAAGTCTGAAGACCTTTAGTTCAGAGTTACTCTAACTCTGAATGAGAGGATAATGATGATCCTGTAAACAAACTATTCGCGATAGAGTTTATATTTCCAAGTTTATAGGATATTGTTTCTTTGTTTAATAGATTAGATGATTCTTTTATATAGATATGTATCTTGTCTATTCTTTTGACGATTCAAGTTCATTCATTCATTGTAAGCGGATTGCTCTGCACATTCAGTCTTCGGTTCAATAAATCAAAACCTTTGGCTATTCATACTCTATTATTATTGTTCTTATTGTTATTGATCTCTTGATACACGGGCACTTTCAATTGGTATCAAAGCCAACGACTTTCGAATTCTATTCCATATTGTCGAATCAATCTCACAATATCAAGATGTCAAAAGAGTATGTTGACATCTGATCAGAGACAAAATTCTCCTGCTTTGTTCTTAGGGGAATATCACCAATGGAGGATCCGCATGATCCAGTTCCTGGAAAAAATTGATGAAGAGTTGATGAATTCAATTCTCAATGGGCCCATCAAACCCTTCATTGAAATACTTGCAGTCTCTAAAATAGAGAATACTCCTGCAATCCCTGCATCTAGGATTAGAAAAGATCCTAGTATGTTCAGTGTAGAAGAGAAAAGGAGAGCAAAGATTGACAGAAGGGCTCTCACTCTCCTAACCATGGCTCTACCCAATGGATATTCGACAGTGTAGACAGCTTGACTTCCGCTAAAGCCATGTGGGATGAGGTGGAGTTCTGAATGCAAGGAGATGAAAGGGCTATGCAAAATAAGATAAATATCTGCATAGGAGCCTATGAGGGCTTCAAAGCAAGGGAATCTGAATCTCTCTTTGAAACTTATGGGAGGTTCAATGACATACTCAATGACCTAAGAAGGAATGGTGTGCAAAACATAAATTCTGAAAATAAACAAGAAACTTTTGAAAAATCTTAGGCCACAATGGGATGCTTTTGCTAATAATCTTCTTACCAAAAATCTGGCCAAGAAAAGCATCCATGATATCTTTGGCATACTAACCCAACATGAAGAAAAGGTCATTGAGAGAATGTCAGAGAAGAAAAAGGTTCATGACTCACTTGCCCTCATCTATGAGGAGAAATATAAAAGTAGCTCTAAGAGAGATTCAAACTTCAAATATGGTGGAGATCCCAGAGGTAGGCCATGCATCTGACTCTAAAAGTGATGACTCTGATCTGGAGCTAAAGAAGATGGCAGAGAATTTGGCCTTGCTTACCAAGGCCTTCAACAAAAAGTTTGCAAGAAGGAGTCACTCAAAGTCTGGTGACTACTTCAAGAAGAGCAATGGTGAGAGAAAGCATGGATCTGAGATGAAAAGCTATGAGAAGAAGACTGATAGAAGAGAAGAAAAAGAGAAGATCAAGGAGAAAGAGGAAGAAGAAGCCCCAAGATAATTTAGTTTAAAAATTAATTATTTGTTTGATTTTTCAATTTTGTCCCCAATCACTTCTCAATTGACCTTTTAATGTTTTAATCATTGATTAATTTCCTACATTTTGATCAATGACCAAAATTTGTTCTCATGTTTACAAAAAAATTGTGGTTTTCATTTGAAACTACCCCTATATATAGGCATATTCTTTTCTTAACCAACTAATTTGTGTTAATTTTATTAACCTAAATGACAATCAGATCTCAGTAATTATTTTGGTTTAATCCCACTTCTATTTAATGTAGGAAGGGTAGTTATGTAAAAAATCAAAAAATAATGAAAATATATATTCTTCATCCAAATAAGCCGTATGATATGGGTTGTTACCTAAATTATCTCATAGATATATATAGGGTTGTAAGTGAACCGTTCGGCGGGAAGTTCGTTTATGTTCATTTATTTAATAAATAAACGAACATGAATAATTTTTTTTTGTTCGTTTAGTTAAACGAACGAACATGAACAAGAGTCTCGTTCGTYCATTTATGTTCGTGAACGTTCGTTCATTTACCGTTCGTTTATGTTCGTTTATATTTGTTCGTTTATGTTCATTTATATATTAAATTTAATATATAATCTTTTATTTATTTACTTTGAATTCAATTAATATTTATTTATGTTTGTTTATGTTCGTTTAGCCCGTTCGTTTATGTTCGTTTAGCATGTTAACAAACGAACATAAACGAACACGAACACACCTTATTTCTAAACGAACGARCACGAACACAAAGATTTTCGTTCGTTTACCGTTCGTGTTCGTTCGTTTGTTCGGTTAAGTTAAACGAACTAACATGAATAAGCCTCCGTTTGTGTTCGTTCGGTTCGTTTACATCCCTGGATATATATGGATGGTTTTTTATGTTTAGTCAATTTCTTTTTTTTTCCCAACATATTCTCATCAAATAATTCACATAGAACCCCTACCAGTTGATGAGAATTGTGTGCCACGGGAGACATCATTGATGGATGAATTGGTTGATTCTGATGGTGTTGAAGACACTACTGTTCACGATATTGTTGATCGCAACCGTCCACCATGTTGTTGATCGCAACCGTCCACCTTGTTCATCAATTTTCCAAGAATCCAATTTCGATAGTGTAAATGGTAAGTTTGTTGAATTGGTTATGTATATTACTTTTTCCATCGATGATGTTCTATGTGAAACGCAGGTTGATTTAAGGTTCGAGGGTTAGTCTTGTCTTGGAAGGCAAACATAACTGAATGTAATTTGTATGTTCATAAGTGAACATTTGATGAAATTGATTTGGTACAAACTGTATATAATGAACTGGGTAATATTGTTCATGCATGAACGTTGAACAATATGTTGTGCATAGTGTTGCATTTTGTATGCATGTGTAAATGTTAATTAAACGTTGAGCAATGTGTTGTATTTATTGTTGAAACTTGCAATGCTTGTGTAGTTGTTATTTAAAATATCAGTAAAACATGTTGTAATTAACATGCATGAACATGAACTGTAAAACATGTTATTTTATTCATGAAGATGATGTATTTATTCATGATGTTTCATT